ATAGAGGGTACGATAGGGATGAAATGTGGTGCTTTCTTTCTTCCACGAAGTTGAGTGTCGCCAAAAGTTTTTAAAAAATTTTTCGGTTATCATTCCTAATGGACCTTGTGTTGCTGTATTTTTGTGGTGCTTCAATGTAATCCGTTTTATTCCCACCTCTCTTACTATGCAATTTAACGCGATTACGATCAAATGGTACGAATATCTATTAAGTTTCATTGAAGTTAAACTACTCGATGTTACTGTACTAAATGGGCTAGATGATTCATTGGAAAGGCGTATCCTTTCAATCTCTGCTTAATTTGACGAAACTTTGTTGAAAATGCCTTTTCCTCTAAATTTTGTGCTTCTAATAAAAATACTGAAATATTTGGTAAATGTTCTTCTGACATTTTCGATATTAATAAGAGGTAATTTCTTAAAAGTGTTGAATTATGAAAAGAGGAGAGAGAGATAGAAAGGTGGGAAGGAATTATTATCCCGAAGAAAAATGAACAAAGAATTCGGAATTATTATTATATATTAACTAGGACGCCTGCTCTTGTCATGTTTGACCAATAAATGACTAGCTCTAATTTGACTCTCTCCACCTTCCAACGGGTTAATACTCTGTAATTCTTGAATATTTTGACTCGCATATCCTCTAATGGTATTGGGATCAACGCCTACAGGAGGATCCCAAGTACTTTCCTTGATTCTATGATTATAATAGTAAACCATTCTGCGAGATCGTGAAATTCGGGATTCCCACTCTGAAGGAGCGTCAACATCCATAGACTCGGGTTTTTGACTCGCTATATCATTAGAAATGCTTCCTCCAGAAGCGTCAACAGAAGCATTGCCATTATTATTAGTAGTAGTAGTTTCCTCATTGTTCGTTTCAGTTTCAGCTTCTTTTGGACTAGCCTAAAAAAAACGACAAAATTCATTATACTTTTTTTTTTTTTTGAGGAGAAACTTACTCTCACGTGTATCTTCCATTCAAAAACCGTTCTGTTCTTTGAGTACAGCTTACCATATCGTTTTAGGTTTTTTTTTTTTTTGGTTTTTTTTAGATCTTTTGAAAATGAAAAAAATTAAAGTTTGAATATTTGAATATCAGTTCATGTGCATAATTATTAGGATAACTAAATATAGAAATAAATAGAGCCAAGCCACATGTAAGGATGTTTGGGTTAGTAATGGTTATACAAGCACTTTTAAAATTTTGGATTTCCAAATGGAGAATTTCTATTTGAGCTTAAAATATTCGTTTAGAAAGATTCGACAAAATTGAAGAAAATTTTATTAAAAATTAAATTAGATTATAAATTATTCCAATCATTTATGAACTATTTGAAGTTATACTTGACACGAAAATTGTCTAGTAATGTTTCTAATTTGGTAATTAAAACTTCGGTTTCGGCTTCATCATATCCCTCAACTACATCTTTATCAACGTAAACCTTACCGAGAGGATTACAATAACCACCATATTTTATAGTAGTAACTAGAGATTCAATAGGTTGAGTTGCAACGTAATAATTGACATATGATCCATTCCAACTGGTGATAGTTTGAACTCTCATTCCTAAAGTTCGTGCCTGTTATTATTATAAGATTTCACGAATTAGTGAATGAATAAAGATTATATGTATAGATATTTATTGATTCATCAATTACTTTGAATAAAAAAGCTTACCGTATAAAGTCCAATATTCTTTAAACCACTCGTAAGCCACCCAAGTCGTACGATATTTGTAGAAACAACCCCGGGATGAGTTGCAAAACTATAGATATTTTGTTTATTTAAACGAGAATTAAGTCCAATGCTGATTATATCCATAATTCGTTTGGATGATTCGTAAGGTACGTTTCTAAATAAATTAAAGAAATCTCAGCAAATTTTATTTATTTTTCTTTTGTAAAAATGATAAAAGAATTCTTACCCTTTATTGCATTGATAATCATCCATATTCAAACTTTCTTTAGTGGATGTATAAGAACCTGTCCAAATAATGCGAGGATCTTTCGCTTGGGATAATAAATCTTCGAGCTCTCGAATCTAAAAAATAATCACACAAGTTAGTTTTCATTACCAAATTGTAAGCATAAACGTAATAATTGACTATTTACCATAACATAATGCCCAAAGAAATTACAAGCAAACGTTTTACCTAAACCTTCCGAAGTAAGTTTCCCCACAGGTTGAACTATAACATCTGTTTTTGAAAACAATGCAACTGGATCAAAAAGAAGTTGTTTAAAGGGGACCTTCCAATCCATATATGAAATGGACAGTATTCCAGCATTGCAAAAAAGCAGATCAACTCGGTTATATCTGATACAAAAATTTAAACCGGGTTAAAAAATCAACTTTATAGCAATGTGAAAGTCATTCGTGTGAAAAAACCTTACCTGTCTTTAATTTCTTTACAACATTTAAACACGGACTCAATCGAAGCCACATCTACAAGTACAATTTCAACTAAACCTTCCGGGAATTCTTTTAATAAATCATTTCGTGCAGTAGTTGCTCGTGCTTGATTTCGGCAGGCAAGAACAACCATGAATTGTTCATCAGGATTTTTTACCGAATGATCCAATAATCTTTGTGCGACTCCATAACCTACACCACTAAAGTGAAAATATCTAGTTTAATTAATGGATCATTTATATTTATATGATAATATAAACTAACCTATTCGCGCCGGTAATTATCGCAATTTTGACTTTAGAATCTTTCGTTTTCGGGTTTTTGGACATTTTTTTTTTTTTTTGAAAAAAAAAAATAAAATAAAGTATGTTCACATTTTAAACCAAATAAATGATGAAATTATTACGAACGCGCTTTTGTAACAGATTTTTATTGATTATCGGAATTTAACTAAATATGTTAATCCGTATATGAAAATTATAACCGTTTGAATTTCATTTTAGGATGATGCAAAATAATTTTCGAAATCACTTGGATCATATCAGCTATCATCAAAAATCAAAATATATCACAATAATTTACGATTTATTTCCGAATGATACGAGCAAGTCTTATCAAGTTGAATTTCATTCAGAATCGGTACGTTTTTGTAACTTTATCAATCTTAATTCCTTTGAATTATTTAATAAAAATTTTGATTCATTGACAGACGATTCTTCGAGAAGTTTCTTCAAATGATTTCACGATCACTATACTTCACCCATCTACCAACTTTTCATCAAACACCTTTTCAATTTCTTCTTCAAACATTGTAATTCTGCTTGATAAACTTGATAACATAGAATGGAAGTCTTTAAGGTTTAAATTCAATAATGAAGAAAGTTTAATCGAAAAGTGGTTTCTCACAAAAGAAAATATACAAAAATGTACAAAAATTTTGGAAAATGAAACTAAATGGGTAAATATAATAAACTATAATATGTATTATTATTTCCTTTTATATATCTAATTTATAATAAATCAACCTCTCGCACACAGAATAAAACCCTTTTATCACCCGACATCAAATCAATGCAAGCGATACGTGATAAAGATGGGTTAATTGTCCAAATAAAAGCTAGGCCTTCCTCATCATCATCTGCGGTATCGTTTAAATAAATTAAAAAGAATGAACCCATTTTTGTTGCAATGAATTCAATATTCATGGATTTGTTCCTTCTTCTACCCACTCACAATCATCATCGAGTCTATAAAGCTATTATAAATAAAGAAATTAATATTAAAATATATAATATATTCCTGTTAATAACAACCTTACTTTTTTTTTTTTTAAAAAAAAAAAAAAAAAAAATGCTTACTGTTCTTTTCGGAGGGAAACTTCCATATTCAAACCTTATAACTTCATTCACCTTGAAAATCAATAGACAAAAATTGTCAAAAGCAACTTCATGATCAACTCTATCAGAACCATCGGAATCGATATGATCATCAAGCATTGAATCTAATTTAAGACATTTGAATGCTGCTTTTCCACTTTTTGGTATCTCACCCGATGGAGGCCACGTAAACATTGCACGAGTTTGTGATGATAACGCTGACCAAACTTGTCTTCTAACAGTTTCCCAAGATTCTTGAGTCGGCATGTCAGGATTACTCGATTTTGGTGGAGGAAATCTTGTTATTTTTTTTGGTGATGATACAATATAAAATCGTCCTGATAAATTATAAATCTCTTTAGTCGTTTGCATTTGCCTGTTATTTAACATTTTAAGAATAATTTAATAATCAACGTATTTGAAATGAATAAAGGTATTAAATAATAAAATGAAACCTACCAGCATAGTTGAGCATTAGGATTCGATTTAACATCACCATGTAACTGATTATCATTAAATGCCATTAAAAATAATAGATATCTTGAATCATCTTTAACAAAATCATGAAATCTTATGTTATGTAACGAAGGTTCCCCATTCCTTCGAAGATTTGTCATTTGTACATAAACTGATATGGTAATTATAAAAAAAAAAAAAAAAAAAAGATAAGAGTAAGAAGTTTTTAAGCATTAATTAGATAATTGTTTTACCGAATATATCTTCCAGGTTCAAAAGAAAAGAAATAAAAAGAAACCCACCAATACTTTTATGATTTTTTTTATGACTTTGTTGAAGTAATTGATTCCAAGTGACGGTGTTTTCGTCCATTTTTATTTTATTTTTATTTTTTATCTTATTTTTAATCGATTTTTTTTTAAAGAAAGAGAGAGAGAGAGAGAGAATTTTTTTTTTAAAAAAAAAAAGAGATTAGCTAAAATTGTAAATCGAATTTTCGAAAATTCGATCCTTTTATAGGTTTATACTGTTTATACATACTTTACATATTTGATAATTTAATTAACACTTCAAATTTGTTAATTTGAACCTTATATAATTAATTTATTTAGATATTTGTTTTTCCATTGTTTACTCTTTCAGGTTTCAACCAAGTTAATGTTGCTCAAATTTTTAGAAATTTTTTAAATTTAATTGATCACACATGATATTTTAATTTATCGGACCTTGTACAAAAAAAATGTGGATGTGACAACTAACTAGATTGATTTATTTCAGGCAACATTAAAGTATTTGGGGAGAAACTAAAAAACTAATACCTGTGAACTTATATAAAGAAATTGAATTAGGAACTTTTTATCGATTTTTTTCCGACAGTTTCTCTATTGCAATTAAATTCGATTTGAATGCTCCTGATAACAATAGAAAATATTACTAAATCGTCACAACTTAAGTAAACTCAATGAAAAAGATGAAACCATAGGTTCCTTTTCTGATTTAAGCGAAATTCGGTACTCTTTAATAAATTTGTATAGGAGTAAAAAGGCACTGTTTTAAAGGCTCATTTATAGGTACTTGGCATACCATGGAGTTGCCCTTAAATTTCAATACTGTGTTGTGTATCTTTGGAAATGACTACAGTCAAAACTCGTTATAGTGAATCCCGTTATAGTGAACACATAGTAAACTTTCATTATAGTGAACTTTTTTATTTTCCCCGGTTCATTTTTTTATAATAAATTTCGTTCGATATAGTGAACTATTAGTAAAATCTCGTTATTGTGAACAAAAGTGGCCGGAACCGACAGTTTACTATAACGAGCTTTCACTGTATATGAGGATCCGTCACCATCTTACTTATTATCATTAGTTTTGAGTTTTATAATTAAGAGCCTCGCCGCAAGCTTCTCAAAATGAATTGTAATGCAAGCATTTCATTTTCGTAACAGCTATATCGACATGCTAAATGCTATATTTAAAAGATTTGAAATTCGGGGGTATTTCCTATTTTTTTAAAAAAAAACGGAATAATTATTATGTAATTGGGTCGTCTCACCATTCTATTTTAGATCAATAAAAGTGTTTTTTAATCAAATTATAATAAACGTGATATCATTATTTTTTTCTTAACAAAATGATAGTGATTATCAATATCAAGGATATGCGCTTCAATCATTTATTAGCCGTTAGTTTTGGAATTCGTTTGTTTTGGTTAATCATTTAAATAAATGTTGGGTTTGGCCGAGGTTTGTCCATTGGCCATTTGGCCATTTTGGCCAGCAAAAATGGCTAAAAAATCTTGGCCGCGGCCATTTATTAATACCTAGGTGATTTGGCTGTTTGGCTGTTTGGCCATTTTGGCCATTAATCACGGCCAAACAGCCAAAGGCCAACACTGATTTAAATCATTGAAAATTACGGCATGATAATAAATTTCACTTTATTATATTTTCTTTTTTTTTTTGCTATGGTCTGCGAAAAAGAAATCCCATTACAAATCCTTCTTCCATTGATGAGATTGATGGACATAAATTCGAAAAAAAAAAGAGAGAAACGAGGAACAAGCAGTACGTGGGATTAGTTTCGCGTCAAAATGATCCTTTACGAACATTATTGCAATATCGTTGAACGTTATTTATCTATTTATTTTTTAATGTGTAAAATGAGTAAATTACAGAGTTAACGAATGATAAACAAGTGATATGCTAATACGTGAAACGCGTAAGTTTCAAACAAATTAATTCTTATATTGTGACATAAAAACAACGAAATTGTCGAACCTGCATGAGCATGCTTCACTTCTATCTTTGGGCCTTTTCCTTTTGTTAATACAAATCGATATGATGATGAAAAAAAAAATAATCATCGAAACCGATCTCTCTCTTTTTTTTTTTTTTTTTTTTTTTTTTTTTTTAAAAAAAAAAAAGGGTGTTTTTTTTTGAGCGATCTAGATTAGAAGCGGACCTACGCATCAAGATGTCCAAGATGTCCTCGGCCGGCACAAGGAGACTTTGCCCGCTCGAGCTACCATCATAATTTGGCCGGCATTAACGGAATTAGATGGTAGCACCCCACCCCGAGAGTTTCTATTAATAGAAAGTACCAAGGTAACAAATGATGAGCGCGCGAGATATTAAGTTTGGAGACAATGAAGAACGTAATATGATATAATGAGCTTTGTTTTTAGGTTAAAGTCAATGCGCTATTTGTTCATCTCACGTAAATTAAAATTTTGTAATACAAATTGTCGCTTTAATTACGACAGTGCAACGTCATATTTGTTGTGTATTAAATTATTTTTCCTAGATTACGCAATTTAACTGCACGTTGCTGATTTTGTAAACACGTAATGTGAACTAGTATAAATTTGACATGCGATCAAACGTTATATACTTGTATCAGATAAATCTCAATAATTATAATCAATCGATGATTTTAGTGAAGTAACCCCAAAACAGCACAGTGCAAAAGACCTAAGGTTAAAGTCCGCTTTTTGTGAATTTGTTTTTTGTCGGTGCTAATGTCATCTTGATTAATCTCGAGACAATGGAACGCTAGACGACTCACGTGAAACAATTTTTTTTTTTTTTTTTTTTTGCAAAATCAAAGATAATCAAAGAAACTAAATCTTAGTTCGAAAAAAAAAAAAAAAAAAAAAAAAAAAATTCCCAAATCAAAAAATTTGCTTGCAAACCTTTTGGGTCATATCTGCGGCAATTTTTTTCCCATTACCTTGCTGGATGAACAGGTTTAACTTTTTGTGCGAGTGTCATTATAATTTAAAAATATTTTAATTAACTAATTAATATCTATGATTTCATCGACTACTAATTTGGCGTAAAACCAGATTTTGTTATCTTTTCAAAGATTAACCAAAATTACATTACCAGTTATATCCTGTTTATATGATTACTTTTAAAGGACAATACTAAGAACAAAAAAGATAAGTTTGCTGCGCCGGGACTAGTTCCCCAGGCACGCGAGTGGGCACCGAGTTATGCACTTTGATGGTAAAGTTGGTTTATATAAACAAAATTGCATTGTTTGTAAAATTTTCACTTGCATATCAAAATTTCAAAAATATCGAAATTTACTTGCAAATCGGAAAATAGCATATAAATGGTTGTGCATCAATTACCACTTTTTCGATCTTAGGAAATTCTGAATAAAACCTGATTTTGATTACCGTGTGGACTCCCAAAGTACGACAAAACTTGTTGATCTATAGAAAGTTCATGAAAATTCCACATGATTGTTGGAAAATTACCACTTCCAAATGTTTGGTGCCAATTTCTTAAATTGTTCTAGTCCCTTGCAAATTTATTAATTATTATTATCATTAAAAAATTCATTTTTACTGTAAGTTATATATGTGGAGGGAAGGAGGGAAAAAGGTCGTTTCGCTTAAAATTCATTTCACTTAATAACCTTTCATAATTTTACTCAACTCGATAAACTGTGTGTTTTCCCCATGTTTCACGTTTGTGAAAAAAAATAAAAATAATTATGAGCCTTTAATTTTACCATAATTGTGAAATGTTTGGGAAAATTTATTTAGGACTAAAAGAAACTGATATTTCATCGTAAAAAACATAGGAATTCTTGATCATGACTACCCGCTTTCTGCGTGTTACTTCATTGTGGATGATATTCATGTTTACACAGGAGATGAGGGTGCAGCCCGAAACAAAAAGGAAAAACACAAATTGGTGGCGAAAATTACTTCTACAGACTAATGTAGTGCTTAATGACATCATGATCTCCTTTAAATATAATCGTATAATTGGTATCCTTTTTTACTAGGTACTGACCTGTGATATCGTCACACCCATCAGTTTTTTATTGTAATTTTTTATATGAAATTATATTATTATTTATATTGTATGTTTATATGTATTGGCATGTCTTATCGATAGCTATCAAATTCATTTTTTTTTTTTTGATTTCGTTTTTTCTCGAAACGTTTGACAACGTCGAGCTCCTTTCTCTTTTTCCATCCCATAACTCTGTAAATGCAATAGCTTTTTTACCGGTTGACCACATCATGTTTAGTAAATATCGAAAAGTCGGTTTTCGAAGATGCAATCTGTCGATTCTTTTTTTATTTGAACGCAAAAATTTCTCGCATTTATGTAAATAATGGTAATCAACTAATCTATTCAAGCGTCTAGACTGATCCATTTTTTTTATTTTTAATTTGTATTCTATTGTCAAAGAAAAGAAAATTTATTTTTTTTTATATTAACCGTTCATTAAAAACATACAAATCTTGTCTTAAATAGTAATCGGATTGGCTTACATGTCGCCTTTTCACTTGTTTAACAAATCTTCCAAATCAAGGTTTTTCTCGATTTTCATGAAATTTTTTTTTTGCATTATTTTGTACTATAAATTTCTTATTATCCATATAAATTTTGTTTATTAATTTATGTATAAAAAAACTTATTTATTTATATGAAGACTATTGTAAAACAAATATGTTACAATAGAAAAAAAAAAAGATCTTAATATTTAAAAAAAACATTTTCGGCTCTGTTTTCCGTTGGGTTCCTTTTTTTTTTTTTCACAAGCAAACTTTTGGGTAACTAATTTAATTGATTCTCATTCAATTTTTTTTTTTTTTTTTTTTTCATTTATTTTAAAAAAAAAAAAAAAAAAAAAAAAAAAAAAAAAAAAAAAATAATGGTTTTTTTTTTTTTTATTATTTTTTATTATGTTAATATTAATATCACTTAATAACAAAGAACCAACATATTCCATTCTTCACGACTTTTTATTTTTCAACAATTCTCGTTTGGTTGCTACCAATTATTAAATAATTTTTTTTTTCCCCTACTTTACTGTATACAACAAAAAAAAAATACTCCACCTTTTATTCTCCGATCCAAAAAACAAAACCAATCGTTTAACGATCGATAGAAGAAACTAAATTTCTTCTTTTTTTCTTATTTGTGAACCAGCTCATAATTTTATATTGTACGGTATTTATATGAAACTTGTTTTTTTTTCCCCACTAATCAAATAGTTTTTTTAATTTAAAATTCATTTAATGCTTTTCAAGAAATCAATTCACTAATCGAATCTTTTTTCATTCTAAATTTTCATATCATTTTACAACTACTTTATCACAACGTAATCGAAACCCAGGCAATTTATTATAACACGGTATATAGGTTTAATTACAATTTACTTTCGCGAAAATAAAAGAAAAATCAATTCAAACAACTATGACGAATGTCACGGCTTTTCCACAGGTTCGAGACTTCCTGAGAAAATGTAATCTTTCGCAGTATTATGACAGATTCATATCCGAAGGATTCGATCAGCTACAGTCGGTAGGTTATCAACTTGATCAGCTCTTTTTTTGTTTTTGATTCGAGAGAAAAAGAAAAAAAAGGCTTCGTTTTGTGTAGATTCGAAAGAACCGAAATTTTCGAGGAGGTGAGTATGCTATATAGCAAATGATAGATCGTAAAAAGTTCAAAACGTCGTTTTGCCACCTATAACACGGAACATGTTCGTATTTGTTTCTTGGAAATTCGAGATGGTTCTAAATGTTTCATTACATATTGTTCCGCATAAGGGACCATTTGTACCGAATTATGTCAGCAGTGTAGCTTTCTGTTCGTCTCACACACAAAACCGGTTTTTAAGCCAATTCCCTTAATGTTAATATCCGCCCCCAAATACGGAAATTTATTTGGGCCATTACGTCATGATATTTAATTAAATATAACCATATTAATTGCCCTTTTTCCATATTTGGTTAGCTCCTTGATGTCACCGAATATGATCTGATAGCTATGGACGTCAAAAGAGGCCATCGAAGGGTAAATATAAAATATCTTATCGTTGCTCGGTAATGATTTAATTATTCAAATATATGATTCATCATGGATTCATGGATTACAATCTAAATTTCATTTTGTATTGATCACGAAATTTTATAGCGATTGCAAAGAGAAATCGCCTCAATGAAGGGAGTTCCCCAAAATATGCCGTTATACATTCAACATGGGACGGTATTAGAAGACTCTTGTGGTAAGTTAAAAACGCGTAATAAAAAATGCAATGTGTTTGGATTATTTGAAATTTCATTAATCTTTACCGGATTGTATCACGTGTAATCATCTCTTGATCCTTGGAGTTAAGCCGTTTTTTTTTTAAAAAAAAAATAAAAATAATTTCTTTTTTTTATCTTTCCGTTTTTATTTTTATTTGTATTCGTTTTTGGTTATTCGATTAGCACTCGCGGATCATAATGCTTCACAAAAAATTCCTTACGTTAATGGAACTTCAAATTCAAGTGGAGCGACCGTTGTATCCCCTCAAATAAGAAGCAGGTCAACAAGAGACGATGATCCTCAGGATCCACCAGATTCCACGGAAGGTGGAAGTACTAAGCGTAAATATAAACGTCACCCAAAAAGGGATAAGAACGCCCCCGTGAAGCCACTTTCCGCTTATGTCATGTTCGCTCATAAAGTTCGCGAAGAGTACGCAGGGCAGAATATTTCATTTCCCGAAATGGCAAAGATCGTCGGTGATCGTTTGAAAACTGTCAGCCCCGAGGTTAAAGAGGCGATCGAGAATGAAGCCGCCAAAGCAAAGGAGGAATACCAAGCGGCCATGGCAGTGTATAAGACAACTGATTATTGGAAGGTAAGTTGGATCCGATCTATCGCGGGGGGAGGGTTTTGATATTTTTGTTTCTCATATCCTTTTTTTATGAAGAAATACCAAGAATACTTGAAAGAATTTAAAGAAAAATATGAATTAAACTGTAAGTATCAAAAAAAACATATCTTTTAACAAAAAAAAAACACACATAAATCAGGCTCAATTCTTCATTGCAGCTCGAGATTCAAGTAAATCACGTAAGAGACAAAATATCGAACCCTCACCAGATTCAGATAATGCGACACCTTCAGGTTATTCTAGTACGCGGTCAACTTCCGTTGGATATGAGAACGGAAGTGGAAATATAAGCAGTGGAAGCAGTAATGGAAACGGGAATGGACAACATTCCAAACATCAATTTCTTCCAAGTTCATATTCTAATCATGGGTATCAACAACATCATCCAAATTATCCCCCCCACTCAAGCAGCTATATTCCTCCATATACACATTACAACCCATCTATGCCGCCTTTCGGATATACGAACAATAGCATCGGACAAAATGTCAGTAGCACTTTTGTAACCCCACCATCAAGTAACAGTAACGGCACCCCGTCAACCACGTTGGCAGACTTGTATGCCAAAGATGATAGTAGTGCCGGTGACGATCAATCTCAACGAGAAAATGTTAGTGGCAGTGGAAACGGAAGTAGCAATGGAAGTAGCATCGGAAGCGGTAGTGGTAGCAGCAGTACCAGACAAGTTTTCGAGGATTCCGACAACTCAACTTCAAGTTCAAACACTCCTCCTGCCGCTTTTGTGGAAACTGAAGAGAACCAAAGTAGTAAACAAGCGCAAAAAAAAACGAGAACAGATCGCTAACAAATAAATGAAGTTCTCGTTGTCAGTCTGTACTTGAATATCATTTTAATTATAATACATATGTTTTTTGTTTTATTTTTTTTTTTTCACCTTTGGTGAGTTTTATTGTTTATCATTCATTTTACATCATGATACCGTATTGATTTTTTTTCCCCTCCCGATAATTTTCATTATGATTTCTTTTTGTTTTTCCATCCTTCAAATATTTTATATTTCTAAGGTTCCATATATACTTTATTATATGATTTTTTTTTTTTTTTAAAAAAAAAAAATAATTGGAGAGATATTCCTTTCGATATTCTTTCTTTGTAAATATTTTTCTTTGTACATTTTCAACTTTTTTTTTCGTTCAATGGAGATTCTTTTTTATTTATTTATTTTTTTTATTTTTACTTTAATAACATTAAATAAGAACGCTCGTGATTTTGGAGTAAATTCTTTTTAACGATCTTTTTATCATCAGTATAATATTAATTTAATATTATAGTTTTAACTCGTTATAGTCGGATTATAATTTAATATTCCGTTTTATTTAAAATACCTGACGTATCTAGTTCGTTCGTAATTCGTTTTTCATGTGCAACTATTTTTATTTTTTTATGAGAAAAAACTTCCATTTAGTTAAGAAAACATTTACTTATCTTTCTGAAAGAATACTATTATTAATTATTTTTTTCGCAAATACGGTTTATAAGTTTCTTGTAATATATATATATAGATATTATTTTTTGTATTTAAGTATTTACATATAAAATTATGGTCTTTTCAATATGTTTCTTTATAAAAAAGTTCATTCTGTTTATTTGAAAGTGAATCGAATTTTTGAAAGGTTAAAATATCAAGTTTTGATTCTATACGATATTATAAAGTTTTTTTTTTATTTTCGAGGACGAAAAAAGTCACGTGAATTTGGATGTAATTATATGATTGTTCTTTTAATTCCGGGCAGCTTTAAAGGTCATCAAGTTATGGCCGTTAAAAAAAATGATTGTTTATGTAAAAACTTATAGTTTATGAATAATCATTAATGCCTATAAACAATTACAAAGAATTTTATAATAATATACGAACTTTGAATGAATAAACAATAAAAAAGATTTTTAATTGGAAATAAGTCTCTTTTCTTCGCTACAATCAAACGAACTTAAAGAAATTTTCTCTCGTTACCTCCTTACGCAATTATCGCGACAATCCGGCAATCCGGTAACAGAGGTCCATTCCCGAGCATTAGTTTAAAAAGGTCAATAATCCAATAACCAATAAAGCAAACAAAATAAACGGGCTAGGCTAACACCTAAATCTTTAGCCGGGTCTAAGCTTTGCCCAAAGTTGCGCCGACACTCTAGAGCTTGCGTGGGCGCTTTTGGACTTAATTCTGGCAAGAATTAGTGATTTTATGCGCGCCATGCATGGATCTGCATGAATTTACTTTAAAAGACAAAAAAAAAATGATTTTTTTGGTAATATAGTTGCCTGACAAAACACGGAAAACTATAATAAAATCTTATCGAAATCATAACTTGAAATCATAATAAAATTCCGTCAAAAGTCAATATTAAACAAACCCGTCGAAATATAGGGTTTTCGACTTTGCCTTTTTGCTAAAGTGAGTTTTGCCAGGCAACTATAATATGACTAAAATTAATTAACTTTTTTTGGGGGGAGTTTCCTCCCACATGCGGAAAATTTAAAAAATTGGAATCGTTACTATTTAATTCGCCTTGTTTTTTTCATACCTGATTTGTCCACTTTTTGACTTTATAGGTTTCACAAAAAATTGTCTTGATTTATGCCATTTCTTTTGTGAAATGTTGGATAATTTTGACCAGACCAGCGAGAAGATGTGGCAAATACATCGCTCAAAAGACGCAACATAATGATCACTTCCCTTATTTTTCGTAAAAGTGATTTAAGTGCTTTTAACGTTCACATGTTGAAAGAAAAACACACGAAAAATCTTATCTCACTTACCATATGTACAATACGTTGATAATGCTTGACTGCCAATTTAATCCAATTACTAAATCGAGAAAACGTTATTGTTTTACTCAAAAGAACATCATTTTTTTTTTAAAAAAAAAGAAAACCGTAAAGGTATTTTCGGCAAAATCCAGTATGTGATTCAGCCCCCTTTTTTTTTTAATGTTGCGCAATTCGAAGGAATGTGATAAGAGATAAAATTTGAAAAAAGACTTTGCTTTGTCATGTTATTTCTTGTTTGAAACAATACACATTACGCACGTTACAACTTGTTGACTCGAAAAGATTGACAGTTATTAATGTTTATTAATGTACGCCAATGGTAAACAATCCATTCATCGGATCGTCGAAAACTTCTTTTTAAAAGTTTCGTGATCCTTTGAGGTAATTTATCATTTTCTCTTTTTTTATTACCTAAAATAAGCATTAATAAGGTTAATATCTTTAACGGGAATCGAGCTTAGGCATTGGGATCTCAAACATGATTTGATTTTGAGTTGCTTCTTGGCTTTTTTTTTTTTTTTTTTTTAGAGATCTGGTTATGTGATGATGATAAATAAATAAGCAAAATAAGTAAACCGTACGCATCGAATCAAAAGCAAAAGGGAAATAAAATTGGGATTGCATTGAATTTTTTGTGATGATTTCCTTTGGGTAAATTATGTATGTGATTTGTTTCAATCAAACGCTTTGTGAATTTCCCTTTATGGAATTATGGAAAGGAATCAATTGATGTAATATGGTGTATGTTGGCGGTGGTAAGAAAATTTAGATTCCCTTTTTTTTGTTATCGCCACCGGTTTATTTGCCAATAAAGATGTTCAATTATTTATTTATTATACCGATCAACCTTAATCCTGCGACTGTGTCACAATCACAACGTTTCGGTCTTGTAAAATTTGTTTCATCGGTATGAAATTTATAAATTTTAATAACAATTCAAACGATAATTATAATAATAATTATTATTAAAGTTATTGTTGTTGTTGTTGTTGTTGTTTGATGTTAAATAATTTATTTTTTACTTATTACATGTATATATTTTTTCTTTAATCTTTTTTTAATAATAAAAAACATGCAAATTTGGAAATCAAAAACTTTTTTTTTACCAGAAATTCCCAAATGATGAGTCAATCAGTCCCTAGGTTTGAAAAGTTCTTGTCTATTTCAGTAAGTTTACACGAAGATGGATATTTATTGTAAAAATATTTTATGTTTGTTTAAAATTTGGAAGGATGGAATAAAAGAATTTTTAATTGAAAATGTGGTTGGATATTTTTATATAGATGAAGCTAATACTAATGGGTCTAAATCAATAACGATAAAATTGGTTTAGGTAATTCCATCAAACAAAACCGAAACCAAAAAAAAAAAAAGAATACAAGAATACAAGAATACAGGAATTGGAAGGATATAAAATTTTGCTTCTTTTTAAATGGGGGAGGAAATATAAGCTGATAAAATGACAAAAAATTTTTTTTCATTTTTTTCCAGACCTACGGTATTTTTCCATAAATAAAATTGAAGTGACAAAATTTTGCTTAGTACGTAAATGGAAAATTCATTAACAAAATGAAAACTGAACTTGGAGCTTTATTTAACCGTAAAACAAATGAGTCAACACTTGTTATATCACTCCTTTTAGAAAATCCGAAAAATGCAAAAATAGCGTCTATGAGATTACAATAATAAAGTTGCATACTTTGTTCATTTGTTAACTTTTCCAAAATTGTTACTTTTTTACATACAAACGGGAGTCCTCATTTGTTAAATGTTGTTTTCTTTCAAACACAAAAAAAAATTTTTTTAAGGTTTGTTCCGCAGCATAAATGAACCATATTACGATGATCAAACTAAAAAGAAATGAATCATATGACGATTGATTTCCTTTAACAAAGAACACTTTTTAATACAAAGAAAAAAAAAATTATTATTAATAATTATATGTTGTCATCACAATTATTATCGTTATGTCCTTAATGAAATTGATTCCATATTGTTGATCGTACACGTTATACACGTTTTTATTCCATTTTAAATCACAAAAAAAAAAAAAAAAAAAAAACTTTTGTTTAATTACTGTTTAAAGGAAAAAATATACGGACCCAAAAATCCGGTTTAACAATTTATGAAACAAAATTGAAACACAAACTTTAACCCCTCTTCCTATTCACGCGAAGTCTTTAATCAGAATCAAAAGTTGACTTGTAATCTTAAATAAACCTTTTTAAGTCATTGTGAAAAAGCTAATTTGTCAAAATAAAAAAGATATGAATATATATATGGCGCATAATGTAAAAATTGATCAAGTTTAAAATTTTTTATTTGAAAACAAAGAAATTTCTTGATGTGTGGGATTATTCATAATACCATCCACTCACGCATACAATATACACGCATACATTCTCACAAACATGTAATCTCTCCATCAGGTTAAGTCACAATCACCCAAATAAATATTAATGTAAATTTATAATTTGTGATTAAAGAGTGATAAACCTCTTATCGCGTAATATTAAGAAACGCGTTTTGACTAAACTCCGAAAAGGTATATATGCATATCAATACTTTTTCGGAATTTTAAAACTTTATTTGTCATTTTATTACATTTTTTGGAAAAAGTAAATAAAATTTTGCGGTTGCGTTCAATTAGATTAATTATTGGCATGTATTTTATAACTATCTTTCAATCCTGTTTGGCAAGAATTATACTTTTTTTCAATTGTTCAATGAACTTTACTTTGTAAGTGTGATGACGCGCTTGCATTCATTCGTCTTTGTTAATTCCTGTTCAACCTTTTCTTTACGATTTCATATGACTAATTTGAAACTCTACAAAAATATTAGCGGGTAAAGAATATTTCATTGGAGTGTTGAAAAAGTGTCCGAAAAAAATTTTTTTGTTACAAAACGTTCAGAGATTTTTTTTTTTACTTTTTTTTTTTTTTTTTTCCTGCACTCACCCCATTCCTTTCGGAGTTTTTTATCTAGTAAGATTTACAAGATGTCGCTGCTGAAAAATGTCATACCTTTAATTTACCGAAATTGAAACTTTATTTGATCCCTTGTTTAATCTCCTTTTTTTTATCATTAGATGGCACCCTTGTAAAAAAAAAAAAAAAAATGTTAAGCCACAGAAATTGAGGAATCGAGGGGGATCGACATTCCAAAGTTTGTGTGCCAGTCGATAATGACGGAAGTGATAAATACGATACGGGGTGTGGCGAAGTCTCTTATCGGGAAGCAGAAAAGAGGTTCGTTATGTGATTTGAAATATGACCATTGTGCCTTGTGCTTCATGTAAATAATTTCATTAGTCATCAATCCACCAAATTAGCAGTGAAGAAATATATTAACTTGAAACGTTTAAGGATTCTTTGAAAATTTTTTGGCGTTTTTCGTGATTGTGATTTTAATGCTTGGGAAAGTTTTTTTTTTTTTTTTTTTTTGAAAAAAAAATAATAATAATTATAATAGAAAGAAAGTATTACAAGATTCTTGATTATCAATTTGTAATTCCCCAATTTGAGGATTAAGAAGCCAAAATGTTTTAAGTTCATGACAAATTTGTTTTAAGGGTAGAATAGAGATAACCCTCCTTCTTGAGAGAATAAGGGTTGTGTAAAAGACGATTTGCAAGGAATTAGTAATCAAAAAAAAAAAAATATATATCCATATTTTTTTTTCTTATTTTCTACCGAAATTCGATCTAATATTGGATCATTGAAGTGAATTGAAAACATGTTCATATTGTTAAGAAAATGTGAAAAAAGGTTTACAAAAGTCTCGTGCGATAAATTAATTGCATCAATCGATATTTGAATAAGAAAATAAGAAGATCAATGATATACAATGTTTGTGTCATTTTGCGAAATTCTCTAAATTCAACCTTAAAACAGCATAAACCTAAAATGCAATTTAAACAAATTAATTAACTTTCATTTCTTGCGCCACTACACTTGTGTACACGAAAGAGTTTCGCGACTTCTCGAAAGGTAGCATCAATTTTTTTTTTCAGCCCAATTAGTGTACGGGGTAATATTTGGAAATCCTCAATAACTTACCAATTATGGAAGTAGGTCGAAAACGGCCGTCCTCGGTCTTCACGTGATTTGTATACATTACGTGCGTATCGAGGAAGTTTTAACAAAAAAATTGACCAAGCCACTTAAACCACCTTAATAAAATACTTTTTATTTTATTTTATCTTATCTTTTGTTCAGGAATGTACTGGTGCTAAGTCTGATTCATGTTTGGGCAATACAGGGGTGGAATGATAAAAATTATTTTAATCCCATCTCATCGATTCCTACCAAATTTGTAATTGTTATTATTAGACCATTTTTGTAATTCAAAAGAATACTAAGGTTTATTTTTAATTCTATTATCATATTTATCATCTTACTGTAAAATAAAAAATCTGTTGTGGTTTGTTACTTCAAAGAATCCTTTGTTTATTGACAGTGTAATCCTTTACTTTTATTTTTTATATTAATGATGAAATTACTTTAACCTGTGTAATATCATTTTAACTGGAATGAAACCGGGTCGGTATGATTTATTTATACATTACGTAAATAGATCCGATTCAAGCTGTAAAGAAGTAAACATATCATCACATATCATCGGATTATCCACATAACCACTTTCGAATTGGAAGACAAGAAAGAAAAAAAGAATTTTCATGATAAGATACAGTACATAAAAACTTTGTGCGCGTTATAAAAAAAAAAAAAAATCTTGTTTAATACAAATTAACAATTTTTAATATAGATAAACCAATAAATTGAATTAACTGTAATCAAGTTTTTTGTATTTATAATCGTTATGACCAAATAAAAAAAAAAAAAAATCGAATCACATCCTTAACATGGCATAGTTTGAAAGCGTAGTCCATAAATGGAAATTTAAAATTAACTTTCGGGATTAGCGTTATTCCTTTAACGAATAAAATCTTAAAAAGATTTCGCAAAAAGAAGAGATTTCACAAGGGCATCAGCACTCATATTATGCCATATGAGATTCCTACCTTACTAAAGAAATATTTGCATCATGATAACCTAACTGATCAATGAAAATTCACTTTTTTATAGTTTTTTTTTTTTTCTTTCTTCTTTCTGCATTACTCAACACTTATAATAATAGATAAGACAAAGGATCATGACAATTGTAAATATATTTAAAAATTTTTTTTAGAATAAAAAAGAAATGTTTGGTTAATCACACATCAATACATAACATACTGTTCTTTCAATTTTATTGTCTTCGGATTTTTATTGGTGTTAATAATAATAATTTACCCTTTTCCGTCAATTCTTATTGATTTATTCAATTTTATCAATCCCACTTTATTTTTTATTTTTAAAAAAAAAAAAAGTACAACTTTTATTCAAAATAAACAACCTCGAAAAATCATTGTGACATACTCGACATTATCACATCTTTTTTTAAACCGCATGACAAGTGATATACCGATGACACGCGGATGCATTGCTGCATGATTGACGCAGTAAAATCATGTACGATTACGTAGTCTTTACTTGTGTGCGAACAACGGACGTTTTTTTTAAAAATAAGAATCATAAACACGGTTTTTTTATTTTTAAAAAAAAATATAACTGCAATTGAATTAATTGAATTCGAGACCGATTATGATGAGATGATGCATGCATCCCAATACACCAAGAATCCAAGGGAATATTATCAAATATCATCAGTTGAGAGGGCTGGGCAGCGTAATTGTAATTATACACAAAAGAGATACTATGCTAATAACATTTATTGGCATTTAGAGATGACCATAAATTTCGAATGACGCAACAAGTTCAACGTTGGCGCAGCAATTGCAGATCATCAAGACGATATTGGGTTACTTGTTTTTACCATTTATGGAAAGTTTAATTTCTCGTGGTGCGAACATGCATCTTTGTTTTTTTTTTAAATATCATCTTAAATCGTCCGTACATGAAATTCCTTTCACGAAAATTTGTTCAAAAATTGCACCAATGAAACTTTATTTTAACCATTTATTGAAACATTCCGATATTATAAATTCTATCAAAATGTTGTAACGTCCATGTCCCGCCTGCCTTTATGCAATGACGTTTTCTTGGCCAAACATAAAATTGTTCAAAAACATTTGTTTTTTTTTTAATTTTTTTTTTTTCACTCAAAACATCTTACATACTTACAAATTGACAAACCAATTAAACATCCTCTTTTACTTTTTAAGTTTCGGAAAAAAAATCCGAAATTCGAAACTGTATCCCTTATTCGAAACATTAATCAAACTCTATTTGTAGAACAACAAAAGTCGATTATAGGACGGATGGATGCGACCAGAATATTTTCGAATCTTCTGCATTGTTACCATTCTTTGTATTCGCGCATAAATTTCTTCTCGCGTAATCTTGGTTATCTTATCGTCTATGATAATCATCATTCTTTTTTTCGTAAGATATGACGGAATCTTACATGATGTTTGTATCTTTTTGAAGCACGTTTAAAATAATAATAATAACAATAATAATAATTGGTAATCTATTCTTGTCATTCTGTAAAACATTTTTTTTTTTTCTTTCATGGGAGAAAGTTTAAACATTGGCACCCAGTAAAAAATGGTTATCGACCAATAGTCGTTTGTCGTCATTTTTATTCATGAATTCTTTATTGCCAAATTAGAGACAACTCAATACCTTCCTTAAAGCCAAGTTCTTACTCTATGTAGTGATAAACAACACCAGTCGCTGGTAACAAAGAAACAAATCCTTAGAGCTACTTACCAATTAAAAAGGTTCAGGAACGATAAGATGACATGATCATTCTATTTTGGTCGTTCAGAGATATTTATAACAATGATTTGACACCATTCAAAGAAGAAATAAACAAAACGACAATATCATGTCTTTATAAAAATAGGTTACATAACTGGAAATGATGCCTTAAATTGTTCAGATGGTAACATACAATGATTGGTTTATGAGGGATTTCCTAGATAAGAATGCACCAAACGTTAAAATCTCAATAATAAACGAACAATTTTAAGAAAATAATGATTTAAACTTGCATTATTCATATGAATCATTATGTTTTTCCCAAAATGAAAAATAGCGATTGCCAATAGCGTTTGCCGTGATGATCGTTCACGTGATCTAGTTAAAGATAGATTGCAGATAAACAAATAGAAAAGTTGTATGATGGAATTTTCCATCATGGTCCCACAAGAGCCGATTTAGGATTATAAAGAAAAAAAGAAAAAACAAAAGCAAACCTTACAACATGATGAAGTAAGTGATTTAATAATGTGAAATGTTATTTTTATGCACGACAAGCCTTTTTTTTTTTTTTTTGTTTTGCGGCGTTCTTATGAATTGCTTCTCTTTGACGGTGGTGGAAAGCAAGTGGTGAGGCGCTCTTACAAAGCCAGCCACCACACATTTGAAATGCTTATGCGTGGGCATTTTTTTTTTCTTTCCAAAAAAATTTCATCGAGACAACGAAAGTGCCAAAATTTTTTCCAAATAATTTTTTATCCCTTGTAATAAATAACCAGGGCAAACATTTAATAAAACAATATCTAAATTAGATTAAGATGAACATTATTTTATCGCATGACGATGCATAACGCTTAAAGAGCTATATATTTAGGAGAGCCATCAACTAAAAAAAAAACCGAACAATGATGATGTGACCCAATTAGATGTCTCTGAGGTGCGCACGTATTCTATTGTACTACTTCGGCATATTAATTAGTTCCGAATATTATAATCCGTTTGAAAGGTTTCGGGTTTGCTTGGATTTTATTTAACCCTTGTTTTCACTGTCCGATCGTTCTAGCACTTCAAAGATTTCATTAACGGATATGCTTGGAGAGCCCTGATCACTGCGCCGATGTCATGCCTGAATCCCGAATTTACGAGGTCCCGAAATCACATCATGTGAATTACCCAAGTTTCTCAGAAGTCAATCATGTGTCGCACAATCCGCATGAATCACGTATACAATTCTTTACCGTATCATATTTCAGATTTCTTTGTTTACTTCGAATATTCCCGGTTTAGTTAGAATATGGAATTCATTTCACATATCACAGAATCAACGCCCGCCATCACTTATGAGTTCACATTATTTCACACAAACACACACAAAATAAAGAAATTAAACGCAATGACGCGTGCATCTAATGTACGATATTTAATACAAAGGTTGAAACAATTTCATTATGGAGGAGGGGTTTTTTTTTCTCATACCATCTTCTTAAAGTTAAATCCATGCACGCAAATGGAAAGAACCCGCGAAACAAATAAATAATCAAAAGGATGATTTCCTCATTTATCAATACTTTCACGCCGTGCTTACTTTTTTTTTTTCAATGAAAGGATACAAAGAAAGTCCTCCGAACAATGTTTATTGAATTACATGAATTTGAGATGTCAGGACATTCGTACGCGACTTATTTGGATATTTTCAACCGTCCTTGAAAGCGCACAAATATCCTCACATGTACACCTAATTGCATAAATGGTTTGTTTATACGTGCTCACTTACCTTTTTATATCATAAACTTGATCAGATGATGATTGATTATCAATTGAACTTACGCGTTTGTTCCAAATTCCTAAAACCTTGAAACCTGCTGCGTCGAATTATCTAATATTCGCGTTTTAGGATTATCGCACATATTCTAAACATGTAGTTAACAAATAAATATGATATGCTTTATATATGTAGAAATATATAATAAGGTTATCCATGTATAAGTATGCGCAATGTTTACTAAATATACTTAAATTTGAAACAATGTTTGTTAATATTTAAGACCTAACCCCTTGAACATTTTTCATCGGCGTTCCCAGTCCGATTGTGATCATAATTATTATTTTTTATTTTTATTATTATTATCATTATACTTTACGGGTTTACTTTATAATTCAATCAAACCCCGTTTTATTCATTTTATTGGTGTTTATAGAGAAGATTTTAGATTATAATAAAGAACAAAGAAAATCAACTTTGATCCCATAAATTTTGGGGAACAAGAATCTATTGTACTGTAGGAGCCGAAAGAAACTGTTTGAATTATGCATGTATGAATGAACTAATGAGATTGCTCGCACAAAAATTTGCAAAAAAAAAAAAAAAAAATTCAACATGTTCATTCATCTTGTCGATTTTTGCTTTGTATGTATGTACAATAGAAGTTTGTTTTATTTTAAAAAAAAAAAAAAAAAAAATTTGATTTTCAATTTGGAACCTTTCATTAGGCGAAACATTGTGTTCAATGGGCAACAATCTCTTTTTCAGCTATATTTGTTCGTGAAAGCGTCAAGTTTTTTTTTGTGATATAATGGACAGTTGATCAAATTCTATGTGATTCCTGAATTTGTATCATTTGCGGGAAATTTTTTTTCCTAAATGGCGACGAGCTATGACCCATTTAGTTTTACATTTCTAAAAAGATTCATGTTCGAAAAAAATTTTCTTGGGGCCTGTTTACAAATACAATTGTGGCGAATGGCACGTGTCGATCATTAAAACATAACGACAATGCATAATAATTATAATAATTTCCGAAAGTGCTTAAACGAATCTTTCCGTTATATATCATTTCCATGCATGAATTTAAGGCATTGTCAAAAAAAAAAACGTGGTACTGCATTAATTTATGTAAATTCCGGAAAGGATTTCATGTTAATAAACTTTGGATTATTTAAATGTGTATACGCGGGGTAAAAACGTTTCAGTAAGGCAAAAAAAAAAAAAAAAACAAAGAAATTTGATATTCTCATTTTTTTTTTTTATTGTTTACGCCAAGGATCAGGTTAAAAATTTTTTTTGTTAAAAAAAAAAAAAAAATTAGTATAATTTAGATGAGAAAATAATGGAATGAAACTGGGTATACTTTCTAGCGAAACAACTGCTGTTTGATAATTTCGCGTACTACACGCCACAAAATCATTACAAATCTCTCAAATAATGTGATCAAAAAAAAAAAAAAAAACAAAGAACTTTGACGACTTTTTCTAGAAAAGATCTTTTAGAATATCATCTACTGATTCTGTTTCAGATTTTCGGTTTTTTTTTCTTGTTTAACATTTTTAAAGTTTTTGAATAAAAAACGTGGCGCGAACCTTAACGATGTTTTGTCGTATTTCATTTTCATACACTTCAATCCCCGTATGCCATCATGATGCCAAGAGTGAGTCAGCTTTCTCTTCAATCATTCCATCTTACGAAACTTGACCTTGCAGTAATTCAAATCGTTTCTATCTGTTACATCTTTTTTTTTTCATCCCTGTGGACCAAGAAGAGTTAGCCTCTTGTAATGTATATATATATATTTTTTCTACGAGAACGAGAGAGAGAGAGAGAGAGAGAGAGAGAGAGAAAATCCCGATTTCACAAGTTTCAAATTGAAGCGCCGCATAAATCATGAGAACTTTGGGATCTACTAAACACATATACGAGGATCTTTTGTTCCACGTTATGATTCCTAATTTATAACACCCGTGAGTTTCTATTGGCTGAATGGAGGCCATTATTCTCGCATCATTACCGGGTACATTTTCACAAAAAAAGGTTCCACAAAAGCGCAATTATTACATTTACCATAATAGATTACCCCGTGTTTCAAAAAAAAAAAAAATCAAAAAAAGTATTTTTAAAAGAGTAATGATGTCATAGTCTTTTTTTGGTAATTACTAGTTTTAGATACCCTATATATAATTTTAGTATTTCATATTTGAACGTAGACCCCAAGATGTGTTGTAAGAGTGAATTACCGAAAAAAAGTTTTCATTAACGGTTGTCCATCGCTAATCTATAAATATAAACTGGTTTAATTATATCATTTGCAAAGGCCTCTATAAAATCAAACAATTAAATAATTTAAAGATCTGGTTCTTTATTTTCAATTAGGAAATTATCAGATTTTAAGCCATAGAATCATAGCAGGGGGGCAAACAATGATCATAATTTAACATATCGATAATAAATGAGTGAATGTGCATGTACAATACGTATATATAAATTTTTAATATACTCGTATTCTTTATTTGGCCTAGTTCGATCCCATGCTTGTTATTTTTCATCTGAAGAAAAATGAAAAAAAATTTTTAAAATGAATCTTCACTTGTCATTCGTTTCAATACATATAATTTATTGTTGTGTGTGGCTTGTGTGGCCGTTAAAAAATTTTGATCGACTAACTCGGTTATCTGCGTCCAACGTGACAAATCAAATCCTGTCAGACTTTGGATATAACTTCATCACATTTATATTTACGATGTGACATCCAAATCAGATTTGGAATTCTTTATTAATTGCGTGATAATAATTTATGTATATTACTTAAATTAATTATATTGTAAACAACTTTTCAATTACAATAACAAATATAAAAACAGATATATCACATTAATCAAATATATTGTTTTTTAATGTAATCAATAAAAGATAGAAGTTGAGAGAACTTTATAAAAAGGTTGGATTGGGTGGGTTTTCTGTTTCGTTGCAAGACTTATTACTTCTTGTTCTTTTTTTCAAAAAAAAAAAATTCCTGATTTCGTAAAAAAAAAACTCGCTTGTTAGAAAGAAGTAGTATCTAACGAAAAAAAAAAAAAAAAAAAAAAAATAATAATATAAAATAAAAAAAAAAAATTTATATATATAAATAAACTTGTTTAAAAACAAAAAGCCACCTTAGCGTTATATTCTTTAATTTTTTTTTTTTTTTTTTATACAAACACCAACGTATATATAAAGACCAGTTTTCGCTACCAAATATTTTTTTTTCCTTTTATTCACAAAAAAAAAAAAAACTTTAGCGAGATCATTTTTATTATCAAAGAAATTCTTTTTTCTCTCAAAGTTTTTACAAAAAAAAATTTTTTTTTGATTCCCCATCAAAGGTTTCATTTTTTACCCAAATTTGTTTATCAATTAGAAATGTCAGCTACAACAGCTAAACTTTCCGTTACCGTCGCTGCTGGTTCTCGCGGTTTTTCGGAATATGATCGTCATTACTCAACGGTACATGGGAGACGAATTGGAATTCAGGATTTAATAAATGAACCCGTTCGATCTTCGTCTTCGGTTAGCACTTCACCGGTTGAACCTCATCTTCAGTATCACTTGAATCGACATCCTAGCTCTGAATTAGGATCAAATCAATTTAGGCATTATTCTTTATCTCCACCTCAACCTCATTTACCTTTACCTCAGCAAAATATAATCTCCACGCCTTCTATGGAACTTGAATCTTATAAGTTACTTACCCCTCTCACCTCACCAACTCAAAATCCCGTTACCCCTTCAAATTATAGCCCAACTTCCAATTCAACATCATCATCTGTAAAATCGGATGATCAAAATTCATATATGACAACCATTCAAACTTCGGGAATGATTATGCCACTCTCCTTGCAAGAACGTCGTGAGAGGAATAAGATTGCGTCTGCAAAGTACAGAGCAAAGAAACATAAACAAAATCAAGAAATGAGTTCAACCATCGCCGAATTGAGCGCCGAAAACAACGTTCTATTAAGACAACTCGAAGAGGCCAAATCAGAAAATTTGGAATTGAAAGAATTAGTCGACAGACTCAAGAGCAAGCTCGTGGAAGGAAAGATTTTGAAACGATTGGGACGAGGAGGTGCAAAGTCATTGCTCTCCCCAACATCACCGGTGGAAGATTTGGACATAACCTCAAACGTTACCACGAACGTGAGGAAGAGTTCAACAAAACGTGGTGGATTTAGCAGTCACGCAAAAGGAACTGGGCCTTCAACAAAAGGTTCTCGCAAGTAGAAATTTGTGGCACAATAAAATTTTCATTTTTCACATTTTTTAAACATCATCATTATTCCAAGATTTTAAGGTTAACGAAATTACATTCATCATTTTTTTTTCATGATTTATAGATTAATTTTTTTTTTCAACACCCATATAATTTTTTTTTTCTTCTTTCATCATCCCACCTTTTCTTCTTCTTCCTATAAAATGTAAAGATTTTTTTTTTTAAACTCTGTACAAACCTGTGCATATTATTTCCTTATATATATATATATAGATATTTTTTCATGTTTTCGCGGGGGGGGGGGTGGGCTTCACAATTTTTTTTTTCTTTCACCTTAAATTTTAATTATAGGATGATTTTTTTTTAATACGTAGTTTGCAGGTTCTCTAGAGAATCATTTCGCAAATAGTGCTTTTTTTTTGTATTAGAATAATTTCCTTTCCCTTTTATGCTTGTTTCTTGTTTCCTTTTTTTTTTTTTATTTTTTTTTTAAAAAAAAAAAGTGGTCAATTTTTTTGTATATTTTTTTTTTCTTTGGTTTTCACACTCTTAAGGTCCTAATAATAATTGGGGTTTTAATTTTTTAAATATCGGTTTTTTTTTTTCTGTAATTGAATTTTTTTTTTTTTTGGAGTTTTTTCACAAAAAAATTTCATGTAATGACTCATAAATAAAAAAAATTAGTTTTAAAAAAAAATATATGTGTTCTTGTTTGGATTTTGATGGCAAAGTGTCATAAGTTAAATTGATGATTTCTTCAATTTTCAACGTTCATTATTAACAAATGAGTCAAATGAACACGTTACACGTCTGAAAGTCTTATCTTAACAAAATTATCTCATCTTTGTTCATAAGCAGACTTTTTTTTACGATTACGATTAAAAGTGGCATCATCTCACATCACGAAATTCTAATTAACTATCAAGGTCTGCATTAAGGCGGAATCGTGTCATCGTGTGGGATATGACCCAAATAGTTCCATTGAATGTGTTGGTGTCACACAATATTACCTAAACATTAGAAAAAAAAAAGTGCCAAACTTTATTTGCTTGTTTTTTTTTATTATTATTATTATATATTGTGAAACGGAACAAAGAAACGAAAGTGTCATTCATTCCCATCATATTTTAAATTTTACTCTAGTTTATTTCTATAAATATCCACCACATGTGGAATGATGAAATTGTAAAAAAAAAAATAGTGGTACTGCGTTTAATTTACGATAATTAGAACGAGCGGTATCTCCGCGAAAAGATCTTCAAAAAATACTGACAACTTCGGTAAAATTTTGTAGATTATGAGAAAAAAAGTAATTCAGAATGAATTCATTTATTTTTCTATATTCTTTTAAAAAAAAAAAAAAAAAAAAAAAAGATGTAATGTAATGTAATTCAGGAAAAAGGGGGGGAGAACTCTGTTTAAAAATAGATTTTTAAACAGTTTAAACCTGTATAAACTTGTTCTGAATGTTTTAGGTTACCAATCATTTTACAAAGAAAAAAAATTTTTTATTTTAGAAGTTTTTTGTGTATTTTAACATATCATATGTGACCTTTAATGATAAAGTTTACCAAAATGGTGAAAATCTTGCATCAAAAGTGATTTAGATGATGACATCGTCTCTTCATCTTGTATAAAAAAAAAATATCAAAATCAAAATAAATAAAATAAAATAAATAAATAAAAAAAAAAAAAAAAAAAAAAAAAAAGAATAATCGTAAAAAATAATAGATAATATAACAATGTTATCAAAAAGTTCAAAAGAATATGTATATGGATAATATAATATATACATTACAGATTATTATATAATATACAATCCGGTTTATGCATAATTTAACGAAGAAAGGTTTTTTGACTTAGATTTTTTTTTTTAAAAATACATTTTGTATTTATTTTTACCCATCCAGTTGTTAATGAGTAACCAGATTTGGAACAAGCTGCCGTCGGAATTCGGAAACCGTTCGGGAAACCGGCTTTATAAGTATCCTTTATCAATCGAAGCAGATTTGGCTTATTATTATTATTATCATCATTATTGTTTTTCTGATGTTCTTCTGTGGCTATGATAAGATTCTACATAAAATAAAAAAAAATTGTATTTTAAAAAGATTGTCACGAAAGAAAAACAAAAAGAATAAGCCTTAAATCATTTGAGTAAACAAAATCACGTAATAAGTTAAAAAAAGGCATTCGAAAATGTAAAACTTGTCAGGGTTCCCATATTTTCGTGGCTTTTCCACCTTTTTTATTGGCGAGTTTCGATACTTCCATGATTCTTTTTTATTTGTATGCGATTTCCCGATTGAAGAAATTTTTAAAGAATTCGTCAGATCTAATGATGACACGCGTCATCAACTTTCGTACAAAAAGGGTAATCAATGCACATTTGTAAACAATAATCTCATGCTTCACTCACATTAGAACCTACGATGACAAGAATAAATACTCGAAGGGTTCTTTGTTCAGAATGATCCAATTTTGTACTGTATTAACGTGAAAATCTCAAATGTTCTCGCCTATATTGGTTAATAATATCGTAACACGCATTAATAAAGATCTCAAAGGTATGTTCTATCAGATTTTACTATAAATAAATCTCATTCCAGTTGGTAAATAAAAATAACAATATATGTATGTATGTATATATTTTTTTTTCTCACACAAGAATGTTCGATTATATTATCGGATGAAAGACTCCGGCAAAACAGGTTCTGAAAACTCTTATGGGAAAAAAATAAAGGTCGCGTAATTACTTTCCTTCATGCTCGCGTTCCTTGGATTTCGTGCCTTCATCAAGTTATATTAAGGAACATACAATAAACCATTTTCACACCACACAATGATGAATACGTTTGGTGACAATACAAGGAATCAAGCCACACATCCGGAAATGAATGTATATGTCACATAAAGGGTTGGTCACAATATATGTTCCTTGATGAATGATTAGTAACATTGTCCGAGTACATCTTCGAATCAAAATGTTGCAGAATTATCCGCTCGTAATCCGCCGCGGTACATTTATGAGGCTAATAAAGTGAAATTAAATCTTTCCTCTACCTTTCAGCGTTGACGATCACTCTTGTAGCACGCATACAATCAATTTGTTTTTGGTTCAACAATCCTTGTTTTTACATTATGATAATTTGGTTGGGAATTCCTAAATATCACCAAAAAAAAAAAAAAAAAAATTGCATGAATTAAGTTGCGTCGAACAATTTTTTTTTTTTTCTTTTAATGTAAAGAAATCATTAAAATAATCGGAAAAGGAAAAATGTATTATATATTATTGATAAACGTTTGCTATAATAAGAAATAAAAAATAAAAAACCTCCCATAAAAAAAAAAAAAACCAAAATTGAATTTTTCTCTTCAATTATTATTAAACAACAATGAATGAACATTTCGATGATAATGACAAAGACAATAATATTAATGGATATTATTAATTATGTGAAAGTTAAAAATCAAATAAGATAAGAAAAAAGGGAGGATTTTCCACCTACAATGGTGGGTCATAATAATGCACAATAGATTCAAAAAAATCATTACAATCATAATTAAAATTGGAAATTTGAATTCACACTATTTGTTGAGTCTTGGTACCCTGATGAGCTTAATGTTTTTTTTTTTTTCTTTTAGAAGTTCGCTGTTTTTATTGGTAACCTTTATCATTCTTTGTATAAATTGAATAACCTTCTTATTATTGTTTCTTCGTTTTCGGAAAAAATTAATTATTATTGTTTACCATTTTTAGTAAGTCTTAAGCTAACGAAGATCATTTTAATTAGTTCTCAAAAGCAATTATTATCTTATATACGGTTAACCTATTTGGTGAGCAACCCTTTTGAAACCTTTTTATGACGCAGAGCTGCGGGGAACAAAAGGACTTCCGAAATCATGGTGAATGGTCGCATGTCACGTGAAAATCTGATGTCAAAGAAATTTTCGGATTTACGAAAGCTAGGTTCAATTTACAATGCTGTCATTTGATGATGCTAGATAACTCTCATTTGACGATTTGACGATGACCTTTACAACGAGCATGAACGTTCTGAACGGTAAAGAATAACAAAAATCATGAAACACTTGAGTCATGTGCCTCATCATTATGTGTCTTTTTTGTCTTGATTAGTAATGACATATCGAGAAAAGAAAAAGAAAAAAGATTTCCCTTTCATTTGTCTAAAAAAAAGACCTCATTGACTCGGATGTATCGGAAGAAAAACACCATCTGCAAATGGATTTATTTTAACCAACGTCTCATTATTTAAATACCACGTTAACATAAAGAAAAAGGTCAATTTTGTATAATAATTAAATGTGCGGACATGGAAATATTTCTACTTTTATGGTATTCATAAACATCATAATGGTTTCAGAATTCTCATTCAAGGTGCATCCAACGCGCGTTCCGATCCCGTGATATCTCTGATCAGTCACCGTGTGATTAGATGAACATGCAATCTCTGAATGACGTTCCCTCCCACTTATGCATCATCTTTTCCTAAATTAATATCGTTGGTTAGATAATGACGCGCTAGGTGCTTACCGTTTTGCTCAAAAAGAGGAATTTTCATTCTCAATGAGAAAAAATTGTTCATTTATGGATTCTTTATTTGTCACCTTTCCATTTATGGTGATCACCATTTAAATGGTTTCTCATATTTTTAGGTAAACTTGTGGACATAATCTTTTTTTTCGTTAAAAATTGATCAACAACATTCATGACGTTTCTTGACGCAATTAATGCATTTAACCTGATGGATTCGCCTAAATCTATTTAGGAAATTTTATTGAGTTTCGGCATGTCCATACGAATTTGTTTATTTATATTAATGAGCTAAAAATAAATCCAATAAATTTATTATTGTTGAACACGTTTATAAATTTAGAAATCGGACTACCAATCTACCAATCACATGACTTTTAAATTGCCAAGTGTAACTGTGTGAAAAAGATGACTTCATTGCACAACGAGATCGAGGTGCGGACACGAACGGTTTCTTTAATTACACGAGGTTCATATATATATATAAAAAAAAGAGTACCGTTCAATAAACGACCGAGTTTTATCAAACAAGGTTTTTTTTTTTTTATAGGAAAGACAAATTAATCAAACCAGTAGAAATTGGGGGTGGGCAAAATCATAACAATTTAACGAATTTTTTTTATTATTCATTTCTTTAATGTTTCTATAATAATCTAAATTAAAAATTTTAATGTATTCGTTTCACTCCCAATGTGATCTTATGTCATGGTAGGAAGAAAACCGGAATGAAGTCGTCGTACAATATATGTAAATATATTTTTTCTTTCTTTACATGTATAAAAAAGAAATAGGATAATAAACAAAGAAATAATTGATTTACAAGTAATATTTACGTGATCTATCAGTTGATATCTGTTTATGAGCGGAGGAAATCGGTTTACATGAATAAAATAACCAATGCCAGTATAATTACACGTGTGAGCAGATAAGGAATAATATATATATATTTTTTTTATTTTATTTTTTAAGTTATAAAAAAAACTTGAATTTTTACGACTTAAGCCACCAATAGCAGAAACACAATTTTTTTTTCCCTCAGTAAAGGAGATTTCAGATAGATTGGATAGATTGATTTTAATCTGATGTATTATATAAATAAAAACTGAATAGAGGATGATAAATAAGAAGGGATAAAACTACTTTTCTTCGTGTTTGTGTTTCGTGATCGTACGAGAATAAATAAACGAAAAAGTATCATGAAACCTTATGTGAATCAACTAATATATGTGAGTATGTGTGTGTATATATATTTATTATTTAAAAAAAAATAAACAAGAACTCTGTAATAAATATATTAGTGATGAACGGGTTTTTATCAAACGATCGATTGTTTTTTATTTAAACATTTTCATCCTTTTCCGTATGATAGGTGATAAAAAATAAAACGTTATAAGAGAGGCTCGTATCACATAGTACATTGCATGCAATAAAACGCAAAAATTCGTGTGTAAAATTAATGTTTTGCGACTAACGTTGGGTTTTCGTCACACGTGACTTTTGGGAAGGAATGATCGTCAAAAACTTATAAACACACAGTATAAATATTGTATATATAGTATAATATATGTATATATATATATATATAAATATATTTTTTAACACATAAATTTAGATTAGTTCAAGGTCTGAGAAAAGAATCCCTAAATTTCAAAATCCAAAGAAATTCTTTGATTTATCTCCTTGTTGACGGTAGCATTACATGCATATTCAACCATTCCAGCGAACCCATTAACATTTGTGATACATTAATTAAACATCGCTTTCCAAGCTTTGTCTTGGGAGTATCTCAAGCTCCTCGCCAAGTTTTCTTGAGTGTTACACGTAAAGAAACAATTCGATTTTTTTTGTAAAAAATAGGATTTATTTTGCTCTTTCTAGCACTTGTTCTTTTTCTTGTTCTTGTTCTTGTTCTTGTTCTTGTTCTTGTTCTTGTTTTGTTTTGTTTTGTTTTTGTTTTTTTATTTTTTTTTTGTTTATGTTTTTTTTTTTACTTATTTTTGTTCTGTAATTTTTTTTATTTATTTTGATTTCTTAGACTTATTAAGAAATTCATTTAAGATCTCCTTTTCTAGATAAGATTTCCTTCGTGACAACTTATAATTGCTAACATCGCAGAGAAAAACAAGAGGTGATATGCAACTTGTTTATTAATACACAATCAATCGAAAGGAGTTTTTATTATTATTGAAAATCTTGTGAAAAAATTCTTTTTATTTAATATCGTAATAGTTTGATATTCGATCAAAACTTCTACACAAGTATTAATTAAATCACATCCCTCACAAAGGTACAAGAAATAATATTGTGTTGTGCTAACGCGTCATTTTGATCACTCACAACACGTAATAATCTCATCCTTATACAATCGAAATTACGGATAGCCGAGTATTTTCTTCGTGATGCAACGGAAGTGACCGATTTCATGCATGTTTACCACAAATCTACAAAATAAAGAGTTGTTTTATCAAGGAAATCTTAAAATTTTCGTTTTGATTAAATTGGGTCGATTTAGTGATATTCGGCAAAAATTTTTACGCTCAATTAAAAATTCGGTGGCGCGTTTGCTATCTGCCACGGGCGTGAAGCAACGAGTCACAACTTTGAAATCCGATCAGGTGACGTTTCATTTGTTTAAAGTTCAAAAATTTCACATAGAAAACTTTTAAGTAAATAATAATAATAAAATAAGTATATATGAAGAAAAAAAAAAAAAAGATGTTAATTAATCATAAGATGATAATTGATGATAAAGAGTTATACCTTTATCGGTACACGCTTTAGCCATTTCGTCGTTCATTATATTTTTATTATATTATAATAATGGATGTGAGAAGAAAAAGAAAATTATTATTTTTTTTTTTTTAGATTGTATAATGAGTGGTGGTTAAATGAAAATTTGAAACATTTAAAATCATCCCTATATTTATCAAGAGGTAACATAAAATGAATTCGTATGGCTTTTATGTGACCCTAATTTGTAAATGTAAATGTTAATAATATAAAATAGAACAATAAAAAAAGGTTACATTAATCTTAAGAGATAAAATCGAATGTCTCTCTTTTTCTCTTTTTTTTTTTTTTTTTTTTTTTAAAAAAAAAAACAAAGTGATAATAATGACAATTGAACCCAGGTAGAAATAGGAAAGAATCACAAAAAGTAAGCCACACTGACGCGTCTTGACTGGTTATCTTTCCAATTAAATAAAACATTTCATTTTATTTCATTTTTAACTTAATTTATTTTAATTTATTTATTTATTGTAAAATTCTTCTCTTTATTATTCTAGAAGTGATATATATCTATCTATCTAATCTAAAATTTTGAACATTACGCGGCAAAACTTGCATCTATTGTAAACGTCAAATGACCTAAAATATATACATCCTTATAATAATGGTTTTACGGTATATTGATTCCGCAAGAAGATATTGTCCTTTGTTGTTTTGTGGTAACATGCAATATTATAAAGTTTTCATTCTTAAATGAGATTTTACTTCTAAATCATCAACAAGGCATAAATATGTAAAAAGGATTTAGTTAAAAGAATCATCAATTGCCCTTTTAAAAGGCATATATTTTTTTTCCTTTCTTTCTTTATTATCCATGTCATGTGAACGTTTTTAACTTTATTCTCTGCAAAGGACTTATGAAATAAAATAGTGTCTTTTTTTTTTTTTTTTTTTTTTTTCTTCTTCTTTTCGGAAGCCTTTGTCTATTAAAGGTCAAAATCAATTTACAAACATTAAAATGGATCTATAGAAAGTGGTAACATCACAATCGTCCATAACCATACATTTACAAATTTGGTCACATAATGCAAATCTCGAAAGGTCTCGTCTAGAGGAAAAAAGGTTTATGGTAATACATTGTGAATTGTTACATTGAATCAACCTCAAAAATGTTTGTGATTTAAAGCAAATTTCATTGAAATATGCAAATGTAGTTAATTATCGGGTACCTTATTATAAATCATTGTGTAAGCATATCAACATGATTTGAAAAAAAAAATTTTTTAATCCAACTAAATGATTCTATCTTGGCTTATCAGATGGATGATTCTTAATCATCCATCTTATTCTCATGGCCGAATTTCGGTATATTAACGAACCAGCCCTTTTTTGGTCCAAGACCGTCTTCTGAAAATTGACGTCAAAATTTTTCATAGAACGTATGGGAATCAATGCTTTACATGTGCGTATCTCCTTTTATAATGGATGATCAAAAGACCCCCATCAAACCTCCCCAATCGTGGCCGTAATAGGAATCGTCAAGTTATTTTTAAAAACATCTCTCACGTGATAATTTGCATATCGAGGACGTGTCTTTAAGAGAAGAAGGATCTCGAATATATCAAGGCAACACGGTCACTCAACCTAGTGAAACGATTGAAAGCACAGAAGTTCAACACCGTTAAAAATATATAAGACCACTGAATATATTTAATAAACAGGACAATAAGTTCTCAAAAAAGATGGATGTTACAGCATCGAGTAATGTATAATGACCTTCCTAATACAGTTCGAAAAAATAGGCCGGTATTTTTCCATAAATATGTTTGAAAAATGTAATACTACATCACGCATTGTAAATCCTGAATAAAAACTTAAAATGTGTGGCATCGGCACTTTATTTTTACCATTATTGGCAAAAATTTGACGTGGCTTGTTATCATTGATTTCCTTGCGCAGAAAATTAATGTGTTTTCTCGGAGATTCATTTGAGATGATCAAATCAAAAAAAAAAAAAAAAATTCACAAAAAAGAACATGTTGAATCAAAACCCAAGATAAAAATAATCTTTTTTTTTTTTTTCTCACAAAGAGACGCCCAAATGTACATTAGATTATACATTTAACTTTACGCACGCGTTCTCTCAGTTCTGATTTTTTTTTGGCGTAAAGTTAATTATAACTTTTTTTTTTCATTCATATGCATATGTAATTACATAGAATGAAAGAATATATATTTGTCTCTATATAGATACCAACCGATAAATTCTTTTTTTCGTTTTGGGAAAAAGATAAATTTGATAACGAATTATCGAATTATGATGAAGTTCGGTATCACGCATTTTTTCATTCATCGTTAGATAACCTCTCTTTCACTGCCAAAGTCATTTGATTTATTCGAGAGAACCATTTGATAACGCATTGTGCTTGTGTGACATTATATTATACGAATGCTTTGCTAAAATCACGCCACTGATTACACGGATTATGTCTCGTACCTTGACTTTTATGGCAAAGCTTCTAATGTGACAATTATTTGATTGAAAAATGGTTTTACTTTATTACGAAAAAGAAACACAAAAGTGTCACTTTTTTCTTTGTATCTTTTTTTTTTTTTTTTTTTTGTTTAGACCACAAATGGCTTAATGATCTCTTATTTGCTACAACAAGATTATGTGGTAAAAATTTTACAATCGTATCATTAATAAAATAATAAAAATCTTCCTTGTCGAGTTTTGATCCGGTATGCTAATCACGTGAATCAGTTAATAATCTACATTTCGAATCGCTTTTTCGAGATATCAAGAGGGACATTTGTTTTTATTAAGTGCATATTCAAATCATGCTACTTAAATTTTTTAAAAACAAGGTTTGATTGTAAATTTCCTTTTTTCAATCGTGATCCTTAAAAAAATCCGTTTTTGTAAAACAAAAAAAAAATATATATATATTTCACTAAACAGCGTATTAATGAATGAACTCGTGATATCAAAATATTAATAAATATGTATTACATTTGCGTCGTGAAAAGTTACGCAAAGAAAATTATTTTACGCGTAAAACCACGAGAATATCATTCATATTATCTTAAAAATTTTCTTGTCTTGCCTTGGGAATAAAAAATTCTATACGCATTCATATGTGGCGCGTTCACCAAAATAACGTGCTGTGGCAAATGTGCGCATTTTACTCAAAAATCAAGATTTCGTGTTTCATGATTCATATTCTATATAAAATACCAAGTAATTTACTCAGTCACAATAATATGATAATTAATACCCATGACAAAAAGTATATTTCCAGCGTGACATTCGATCGTAACACGTCAACTCCCGATATACCAAGGTCTCCGCTTTGATCTTTGTTAAGAGTGGGCTTCGTTATGACGAGATTTTTTTCAAAATAATGCTTTAGAAAAATTCGATGCATTCTGCTAGGTGCTACTGCATAATTTGCCTGCGAAATTAACAAATAAGGGAAATCATTAACTTTTTTTCTTTACAAAAGAACAAACCTCTTTGACTACTTTCAAAAATAAATCATCGGATTTATGCTTAAAAAGATAAATTGAACATTCAAAATTTAATCTGTATATAAAAATACGCATATATTTCCGGTTAACTCAATGATAAATTCTTGACGATAAATAATGTACATTGAATTTTATTTATTTATAAACTTATCATTGACTATTAATGATCGTTTTAAGACAATAAATATATATCTACAGGTATACATTTGTAATTAACTTAATTAACTTGAACATATTATAATCTATAATTTCAATCCATCAAATTAATTAATAAAAAAGTTATACAACGACATAATAGGATTCCGGTTTAAGATCTTTATATTTACGAGTTCTTTGGGTACCCGTAGGTCTCCCTTCAGGATCAACGGATTGTAAATGGTTTGTTCCAAGGAATTCGTCTACATCATATTGACTTCTAAAAGTTGCTGCTGTAGGATAATAAATTCCATCCCCTTCATATTTTACAAGAATGAAAATTTGGACATCTGAAAATAAAAATTTTTCATTTTCATTTTTTATTGTCGTTTTTGTTTTTGTTTTTGGTTTTATCGGAATAAATAAAAAAAATAAAACTTTACAACTTTAGCAAGGTTAAATATTAAAAAAAAAAATATTTTTTTAAATTAATCATACCTTTATGTTCCAAGAAATTACCTTCATTATTAATAATTCTGATTTCAAAAGGGTTATCTCTAGAATTTTCATTTGTAATATCTTTAATGTCTATAGTTGGATCAATAATCTTTCCTGTACTATCCACCAGCGTTAATTCAATTAAAGAATATTGTGAAATTTCTGGTCCATACTTTGGTTTTGCTTGTTCAATTATTGTTTCTGCCGTTTCATTTAATGATACCTTAACTGATGTTACTCTTGGCGTATTTTTTATATATACCCAAAATTTTTTTGTATCTGTCGTCATCGTTAAAAAAAAGAAAAAAAGTTTTTTAAGTAAAAAACGATTTTTGAAATTTGAAAATGTTCGATTTATATAATTTTCTAAGCCACCGTTCCGTGTAACCGAATCCCATGTGGCAAAATTTAATCACGGGACCTATTGGTAAAATAAACTCCAATCCTTAACGTTAATGATTGATTATTAAATTAAAATAATGATTCTTATATTTTATATAATAAATTTTAATTATATCCTATATAAAATTTTGTTTATTAATTTAATTAAAGCAAATTTAAAAAAAACTTCATTTCATTATATTTTAAATTAATAATATTTTTATTATTATAATTTTATATAAATGCTTTGCAATAGGAAAGAAAATTACAAAATAATATAAATTTTACTTTTTATGCTATATATGATTTTTTTTTTTTTTTTTGTAAATATGGGACCTTTGCAATAAGAAGTGGAAAAACTGCCAAAAAAAATCAATTTTACTTTAATATGCAAATAGATTGTTAGATCAAAATATGTTCATATTTAGTATTAATTTATTTAGCTATTTTTCCTTATTCTATTGCAAAGGTTTCATATATTCAGATTTAATATTAACTCAAAAAAAAAACATTTTTTTTAGAATTTCTTTCTTTTTTATTATAAAACATCTATAATACTTTATAATAGGAATTTCTTTTTTTAATAAAATATTTAAGATAATATTTTTATAATAATGTTTTTTAAAAAAAAATAATAAAAAAAAAGTTTTATAATAAATAAATAAGCAGATCTATAGTTTTTATAATCGAATAGAATATTAAAAAACTTAAATTATTAAATTATCTTTAATAAAATAAATTAACCTCTATAATCACTTACTCATTTTTACAAAAATCAGTAAGTTTATAAAATAATAAAACTTTAATAATTATTATTATAATAAAATTTATATTTAAAATTTATAATAAAATTAATTTGTAAAATTAATTAAATTAGATTATTAAAACTAAAAATGTATTTAAAATTTTAGTAATATATGATTAATTAGTTTTAATAATTAAAATATACTATAATAAAATATATTTTAATTTGATAGATCTAGCTTATTTAATTTATTAGTCTAAATAAAGGATTATATAATACTATGTAAAATAATAAAAATATTCTGTTATCTGCCTGAATAATACAGATTAGCTAATACTAGTAGATAAATAATTTTAGACTTAACAATAGTTCCTGTTTTCTTAGTTTAATTAAATTAATATTAATTTTTAATTTTTATAAATTTATATTTTAAAAAATTTTATATTTATACTAAATTAATTTATTTATTATTATTCAAAAAAAATGATTTAATTATTTCTTTTTAAATTTATTACATTTATCAATTTTATTATATATTTCTTTCTGAATTAGATTTATTATATTAAATTAATTTAAAATAATTTTAATTAGAATTTTTTTATAAATCATAACAATTAGTGATTATATCAAATTACTTGATAATTACTAATTAAAATTTTATATAATATTAAAACTCATAAATGAATAGTCTAATATAATGTAATATTATTTCAAGTAAAAGATTTAAAAAATTTAAGAACTTTTTAATTTAAAGATTATTGATTATCTTTCATATATTTTTATTTAAAATATAATACTTATATAAAAATCTTACATATAATCAACTTTTTTTTTATTTTTTAGTTTTGACTCAAATGCTAGCTTACATTTTCTTTCAATCTATTTTAAACATATAAATATATGTATTTTTATGAGCAAAATTAAATTACACATTTAATAAAAAATTATTAAAATAGTAATTTTTGTAATTATTACACACAATTTTTAATTTTTTATTTAATTAAAAATAAATTTATATAAAATGATTAACTATTTTTGCTATTTTAAAATTTATATTTATTTTTATTTATCTTTATAATAATATTACTATTTTCACACTTTTTTTATAATTTAAACATTTGATAATTACTTATAATATTAAAAATAGCATTATCTAAAAGTTTATTCTTATAAATTATTAATACATAAAATATTTCAGTTTCATTTTTAGTAATGTAATATCTATTACTTTTTTTTTTTTTAAAAAATTATGATTAATTATATCAGAAAAATATGATTTATTCAAATTAAATTATCATTTATTAAAACCTTTAGCTATCATAATTTATATAGATTTAATAGGATTTTTAATTATCATTTTCTTTTTTTTTGCTTTTTTTTGATAATCTTTTACTTTATACTAATAACTCTAGCTATTCTTTACTTTATGTATTTTTTTTCTTTTATTCTTTAACCTTCTTAATAATACACTTTTTTAATTTGTTCTAATTCATCTAGATAATATATAATTAAGTAATTAATTTCTTCTTTACGTATTTTTATAAGATAATATTTCTGAAACAATAGATGAGATAAAGGATTTTTATTTTGAAAATAATAATTATATACAAACTTTTACAGAGATTCTCTTTATGATTTAATTGCTTGTTTATTATTTAAACAGAATGATTTTTAAAATATTCATTTTTTAAGATAATTCTCACTTTTTCATCTTGAATACTCTTAATGATTTTGAGTTTCTTTTCATTTATTATATTTCTATTAACATATTATTTAATAAACTTTATTCTAAAAATTTCTAATATTTTATCAAATCTAAAATAAATAAAAATTACATTTTTAAATTTTTATTAAAGATTTTAAAGAATAATAATAATGTAATTTTCTTCAAATTTGAGATAGGCTGTTATTATAAAAAGAAAATAAATAATTACTATTATATAGTTAAACTTTACAGTATTTACAAAAGTGAATTAGCTGTATATAAAGCATCTCGTTATAAATTAAAATTTCTGATATACACTTTCCTCCAAAAAATATCTGACCACTTGCTGATCATTTACTGATCATTTGAAATTATAGCTGATTTTGACGTTTATTACTTAACAATTTATTAATAAAA